CCGCAGGTTCCCGCCGCCCCGCTCCCCCGGGAGGAAAGGCCGCCTTCCCCTCGCCGCCCGCTCGGTGCCCTCCACCCGGAGCCGCTTCCTCCCGCGCCCGGGGCTCTGGAGGCCGCGGGCTCCGAACTCGCGGCCGGCGGGAGCCAGGATGGGACATTTCCAGCTGCGCAAAGTTACCTTTTCCTGCGTTTCCACGAGATGTGCACGGAGGGCGCGCGCTTGGAGCGCGCTTGGAGCACAAACTGATCCCGGCCCCTGGGCCAGGAGGGAGGCTGGGGCGGAGGGGCGCGGCGCCTTCCCCCCAGTCCCCTGAGGCCTGCGAGGGGCGAGCGCCGGCTGCGTGGACTTTGACACGGCAGTCTCAGCTCTGCGCTCGCTCGGAGCTGTGACTTTGGGCAAGTTGCTTGTCTACAGTCGTTTCCCTCTTCTGAAAGGGGGCAGAGTGGTTCTACCTGTGAAGGCCTTTCACAGGCAGGAGTGAAGCACATGGTTGTAACTATTAATCAGTGCCATACTCGGTCTCTAGACTCACGTCTTGGTGGAGGAAAACGTCCCCCAAATGAACTCCCCGACTGGTTCTGAAATACACTCTTCCGGTCACCTCGGGCCAGTTACTCGTGTTTCATTTCTCTTAGGGCAGAGTGTATCTCAGTTACTGTGGGGATGGGGTGGGTGAGTACATCTCCAGGCGACCCTCTCGCCTCTGAGGGAGAACTCTGTGGTTAGGCTGCCATCCTGGAGACTCCTGTGTTTCTTATTCCCGTAGGAAGTTTTCTAGGTTTGGAAATCAGCATTCATATAGCTTGATAGACAAGCATTGTGCACGCTCATTTGGGGAACAAAGACTGAGAGTGAAAAGTCTCAGAGCGCAGAGACATGGAGTGAGAGAAAAGCAAAGGCATAAAATAAGCAATAGTCATTTTCATCCCCAAAGATGTTATTTGGTGGGTTGAGCCCTTCCTTTTGCGGGTTAAAATGCAGCATGAGGAAGCCAGCACCAGCTGCTTCAGCACGAATTCCATCTCCAGCCAGGAAGTGACCCACAGGGCACGCTAGACCTCTCCTGTCTCGCCCGCTGCTCCCCTCAGCAGTGTACTTGGTCGATCTGCCTGTTCTGCTCCCCACTCTGTCTCTGGTGAAGCCTCTCACCGCCCCTGCACCTCTGGCCTGTGCCCCATTTATATATGCATAAATAAAACCTCTAAAAAAAAAAACTGGGGAAAATAGAGTTGTGAAATTCATTTTATTGGACACTCTTGAAGTCACAGCAGTTATCAGTGAGGAGCAGTAAGCCCACGTGTGAGAAACCGTCATTTCAATCAAGAACGGCAAAGAAAGGGACATGGAGGCAAGATGTAGAATATAAAAGTCAAGAGAAAGATTTGCTGGCCAGTCCTCAGGGAGATGACTACCCAAGAGAAAAGGAAGTATAAATCCTAAGGGTTGATTTCCAGTTCCAAAGGCGGACAGTTGCTTGGATTTGCTAAATAAGAGGACCACGAATTCCAGGAAAGGTTGAGATTTTTCTTGTATCTGGCTCTGTTTCCCCATAGCACATTCCATTATGTGCTGGAGAATGTTAGAACCACAAACAGCCAGGCCCTCCCCAGTCCAATTCGCTAACTGTTGATAATCATCTTCTGCAACATCTTTTTTCCTCTTTAAAATGTAATCTTTAAAGTTTTGCTGAGGATACATGATTTTTCCCCTGTAGACTCGTACCACTCATTTAAAAAGCGTAAGTGTAAATATGCAGAAACAGGCCCCAACACATAAGTTTGATACCAAGTTAGCATCAAGTAAGGAATACACCAAGGGGGGGGCCTCCCCCAAGGAGAACCATCACTGTACAAAGGAGGTAGCTCCTTTCCAGTGTTCTCTGGATGGCTCAGCCAGTGTCAGCACGGCCCTTCAAATTGTGCAGGGACTGGATGCTGTTGTTGCAATTAGTTGCACAAATGCAGATAGCTGAGGAGTGCAGCCTGAGTGGGTGTGAGCTACCAGTGTTCTCCAGGGGTTATTTAAGTCCCAGAAAAGCAGGCAGCCATTCTTAGGTGAGCAGACCTCAAGGGGCCTCAGGGCAGGAGAGGAAATAGTTCTCTAAGCCCATTTTTTTTAAAAAAAGATTTATTTATTTGTGTATACAGAACTGGGGTACAGGGGTGGTGACCTACACTGCTGAGGGGAGCAGCGGGCGGGTCAGGAGAGGTCTGCCGTGCCATGTGGGTCAGCCCCCTGGCTGGGAATCGAACTTGTGTTGACGTGGCTTTAGCTTCGTCGTGCTGTGCTTTAACGGCTCCACCAAGGAGGGCCTCTCTGCCCAATTTTAGTGACTTTCAGTGCCCTATGTCAAGATGGCAGTCTTCCAAGTTGAGCCTTTTCCCTGGACCACTTGATCACTTTGTAAATCAGGGTGAACCACCTGGCTTCCAGCTGGGCTACCTAGATGAGCACCATATCCAGCACACTCCCCTTTCCCCTGCCACCCAGAGCCCCTAGTAGGGTTACCTGCAAATGAAATGTTAATGTCTGAATTTGGTAACATTTTCCACTTCAGTTGTGCTGTCGTCATAGCTGTTACCTTAGGTACTTGTCTCTCCCACTAGACAGTAAGTCCCTAGAAGTCCTCTGCTTCCCAAAGAAAATCCATTTCTTGGGAGACAGGACCAGGCTAAGAGCTGCAGAGAAACACTTGAACTGGGTTTTGCCAGAAGGTGGGAGCAGCATTCCAAGCAGATCTTGGAGGCCCTTCACAGCCAGGAGCCTGAATTCCCAGCGTTTCCTCCTCTCCCTCCAGTACCCCTGGAGAATCACTCCCTGCAGCCACTGAATGCCAAGGGGGTGAGTGGAATGCCTGCTAGGAGGTGTTCAAGGACAGGCAGTGGGCCTTTATGCATAGAAAAACCACCCTTCTTCCTAAAGGGCCAGGCATCCTCCTCTCACAGCAGTACAGAGCCTTTGAAAATTTTTAAAATAAAAGGTAAGGGCATTACAGAGCCCACAACTGAGCTGGAGAATACGGGTTAGTCTCCTCTTCCATAGGAAGTTGCCAAATCAGCGGGTCCAGAGAACCGCTCCACACACCTGTCCTTCAGGAGGACACTGAACTGGCCTTGTCACCTGCCTCCCGGTTGCTCCTGGGGGCCACAGCCTGGTCTGCTGTGGCCCAGTGCAGGTCCAGAAAAAGGACATGGCTTATGGGCCGACCATAGATCGGGATGTGCAGCGAGGGAGAAGGCAGAGTGCTGAGGGCGGCATGGGGTCGTAGTTCATGTGAGGAATATTGGTGGGCGGGCCGCACCCAAGGAGAAGTTACTGTACAAAGAAAACCTCCTTAACACCACCACAGTTGTCACTGCAGCAGACATGCTTCCTTCAAAGCGGCCGATGCTTTCTCCAGGGCACGTGGTCTAGAAAGGACACAGTGGCAGCAGGGGCTGAAGCCGCGTTCCAGTGACCGCTGCCTGGAGAGGCACCCAGGCAGCTGGCTGTTCTCACCCTTTCTGCAGCCTGGTTATTTTCAGTGTATGAGCTACCTGATACCCTCCCAACACATCCTTTATTGCTTCATTATGTCAGTTTCTTGCTTGACACCAGAGTACCCACATACAGTGCACTTCCTCTCACTGTCCCCATTTCAGGTCTCTCGAGTCTAACCTAGAATGAATCCTTAAACACTTCAGTTTTCAGGCCTCCCTGGAGGCACAAGGGGTAAGTCTCAGCACTATGACTCTCTGCAGCCACTGCAGCACCAGTTCGATCCCTAGCCAAAGAGCTGACCCACCTGGTGCAGCAGACCTCTCTAGTCTCACCTGCAATCCACCTGTCCCGCTCCCCACTGTCTCTGGTGAATTCTCTCACCCCACTGTGCCTCTGGCCTGTTATACCCCTGCTCTTGTGCATAAATAAATTAATGCTTAAAAAATGTTGCATAACAACAAATGTTGGC